CATACCAACGGTAAGTCGGATACAAAATGAAAGACCTTCCAAACGAGTACCAAGTTGAAAAGCACCGTTCCCGACGAGTATGGGTTATTTTAGTGAACAGATCCATGTGAGATGCGTCGAACAAAACAGGTGCTCAAATAGCTTGGAGCCGTGGCACGTTTAAATAGCCTCGAGATATCGAGGAACAGAGGGGGAGGGAGAGTGGTTCATATATCAAAATATCCAGCATAATAACATATTTAACATTCTTTCGGTAACAGGGCCTGAAAAATCGTCCTTGGCCTGATAAGTTGACTCATAAACAGTCAGAGAAAACAGCTTCACTTCTTTCATCTTCAACGGTTCAGTCGCAGAGACAACAAGTAAAAATAAGTATAATAAATTGATCATATGAATTTGTGCGCACATACCCCAATACGCAGTTTGCTTCAAGGCCAACTGTCGTCGGTACATGAGCAGCAGTGACAGGAAGCCGACCCGAATAATCAGATGGCCACGGGGTTCCAAGTCGAGCACTATCGACTGTGTGCGGTTGTCAAGATTGCGCAACAAGGCGGCATCCAGTAGGTGCAAAGTGCCGCGGTGTCGCAGTTTGTGCCGGAACTGTGGGTGCCACGAGTAAACGTAAAAGTCGACTATACGGCACTCGAAGACGTCAATCTCGAATGACTCGCGCCACTGGAACTTCGACGCCAGGTCTTTGACCTCAGTACGGGCGCGGTGTTCGTAGTCGATCTCAATCACGCAATACAATTCGTCCTTTTCGGAACCGACCCTCAAACCGGTACCCTCGAATATCTGCACGATCAGCAGGCCGGTCAACGGGGAGACGAACGACGACGATGGCACAGTGGATTGAAGGTCACCTGATGCCGATCCGGCGGCTCCCTCGTTCGCGGTCGTCATGTGAGACAACGAAAATGGCGATGCCTTGGACATCTGCAGGGGGAAGCGGCGCTGGGGCAACGGAGATATGTCAATCGGATAGTTGGACGAACTGAGTAGACGCTCTTCGAGATTGTAAGGAAAAGCGCCCAAATGTCTGCGTTGCTCCAGGATGCCGTGTGGCGGTAGACTGGATGAACGGGTTCTCAATCCTCCGCGGCTGCGGTCAACGTTTGTCGTCTTGCCGCGCATCGACCGAGAGTAAATGCCTTCGCTCCAAGGCGTGGACGTGATCATGGGGTCGACAGCGGCGACAGCTGCGCTGGTGCTTGGACCCTCAAAGCTGCTCCTCTGTTCGATGTCCCTGTCGAAAAACTCCTGGTTTCCGCCAATGCCCTCTGACCATATCCGATATTCAGCTCGCGAGAATACGTCGTCAATCGTTCTCCTGCTCGTCTGAGGTGGTTGCTGTGCATCTGCAACGAACGGTCACAAAGTTGACTCGCAACCGATTAAATGCATTACCTGTCGACGAACGAAACACCACCTCACGACACGTCACCACAAACAACGCCACGAAGAACATACATGCAAGGGAACACTATAAAAATGAAAACACTAAAAACACATCTAAACGATGACGTCATTCGCCGCACTGCATAATACTTATGCACTTATGGATATTGTTACGATCATTCAAATTCTAAGAATGGATACCGGACGAAACCAATGTGATCACCTGAGAGAACAAAACGTTCTTTCACGTAATCTTCAAATAAGTACTTATCGATATATCGATTTTTGCGTGTTTGAGCAATTATACTTCTGCATCTTACCAAGGTTGTTAAATGAGAGTCACCCTGTGAGAGAGAAACAGAGGCCTAAACGCTATGCCTGCCAAATGACTGCAGGCTCTGGCTTTAAAAAAACATCACTCTTGGCTGATGGCATAGAAACGGAGATCGGCACCATTCTCATTTAAAAAACGCAAAAAATGGTCACATAATGAAACTGAACGAAGCTCGACATTTATACCTCTTTTTTTATTTAACGTTCAAGGCGATCTAATGATTCTGCATCGCCTTTGTAACACGTAGCAGTAAGAAACACGAGTCAACAAAAGACGCATTTACTCCTTCAAGCTGTGTTTAAGTCTTGACCAAGGGCTAACGTCTCAATCCACTTGCAGATCATCGCTGGGTTCAAAACCCCTAGCACAAAACGCTTCAACCTTGAGGCATAAAGGCGAAGTGACTGAGTCAACCACCGTCCTCTCCCTCCCCCCACACACAACCACCCTGGTCCTTACACTAAATGTGAAAAATTCGAGGCGTTGAAGTAGGCGCGTTTTTCCTTTGCTTCTGTCAAATATGCATTGTCTCAACATCGTCTTAATAACAAAGCAAGTCAGAAACAAATTCAAATAAGCTAACCTCGGCACTGAAATACAGACGTAAGGATTGTTGACCTTGGTTTACTTATTGAATACAATTGCACTCCGCTTAGCCTGCGTTTCAATTTATTTATCTGAGATACAGACTGTGAACGAATGAACTCATAAATGGAATGAAACAGTGAACAGATCAACGAAAAAAATGAAAGAACTAATGGGTGAATGAACTAATGAAAATGAATGAATGAATCAGTGAATGAATGCTGATGCGAAACAATGAACGAACTAACGAAAAATTGATGAATGGATGAAAGTGTGAGTGACTGAACAAATTAGCGAGTGAGGATATCAACTGATTCAAGAGCACATGCGCAAATGCATAAATGGCTAAATGATTAGCCCCGCGAATGATCTCCATATAACATTAACGCGTAAACTAAGAAATAATACACTTCTTTCCAGGTTTACATGTGAATGTGTAAGCGTCAAATTAGGGGTTCGTCTCTTTTATGTTTTAGTAGCGATTCAGCGGGTTTTCTAAATACCTGTGACCTCTTTCATGACGCTACCGCTAGTCGAGGCTTCTTCCACTGAAGTAGCAATGTACTTTTCTGAAAAAGATCTTCACAGCGTTTTTCTGTTTCATTCAGAAAACTGCCTTATCGTTCCTTAATTATTTTGTAATATCTTTGTGCATTTTTCTTCTGAAACTCTGTCTATCACCAATCTTGACAAGATTGTTCATTTTTTGTAACCATTCATCTTCCAAACTCAACCGCGCAGTTTCCTTCATCTCTTCTTCCGTCCCGGTAACATCATCAGGATAAATATCTGAATATCGTTTTTAATTATTACTACGGTATATTGACAAAAACGAGTAGCATTCGCGTTCCGAAACTTCTGATCTTTGATCAAAATAGTTTACCAAGCTATATGCAATTCTAAATACTTATTAAAATGAAGGTGATCTCATTGGTTTTCTTTGTGTTTAATTAGGAATCTATTTCGTATCGTGGTTCTCGATCGTAGTCAACTAGGGTTTTAGGGCTACGTGGTGTGAGGAAACGCCCTGCCTTCTAGATTCATTGACGAAACAGCGCAGATCAGCAGACCACTTGTGTTGGTAAATTCTTGACTGTGACCAGGCATAAGACCATTCGATGTGAGGGCACCGAACAATCTGTTGGTTGAGGGATCGAGGAGCTAGCGTAGACACGACAAGTACGCAGCAGCACGGCGGAGACAGTGTCATATACGCGACAGTATACCGATGGACGGGGCCTTGCGGTGATGAAACGATGACATGAAATGCCTTGGCGACGATGAAGAGTGGGGCATTTCAGGAGCCGACGTGGCCCCTTCCGAGTCCGACATGTCTGAAGGAGCATGGAACATGGTGTGACTTGCGGTGGTAGTCAGCACATCGTTGGACCATCGGATGCTGCGTTTTGGCGCGTACCGGCGAGGTAACGAGTTAGCCTTGTGAGGCGAGCACGGCATGGCAGCCGCTGGATACGACGAAGGATGCCTGAGCACCGATTTAGGCTTTACCTGAAGCAAAACCATCATCACTGAAACAGTTGTCAAGTTATTTATACGTACACCACGACTCGGCAAAATCGACTCAGAGTCGGAAACGATCGCCCTGGAGCCGAGGAAGCTGCCGCTGCCGCTGACGG